AGAGAAAGAATAGAACTCTTGGTATATACAACAGACTGTCATTTTTGTCATGAATTCTATAAATCATATCTGATGGTTCAAATAATAATCATAAGGACGTGATACTTAAGACGATGGTATTTAAAATTAAAGAAGGCAAAAAAGAAAGCAGAAGTGAAATTTCTACACTTCACTTGAAGTGGTAAAATATTCATACTAGGAGACTGTGATAAGTGGCATATGTGTATTGTTGTACTCGGAGAAGCCCTAACAAAAACTGTACAGACACACTCAAATACACCATCGCATGTAAATGGGGGGAACCCAGTTAACATGGGCTGAGCTGGGATTTGGGCCCAGGAAATCTAGATCCAGAGTTTCGCTCTTCACTTCTATGCTACATATCCTCTCAGTAATTCGATGCCACACATTTGCAGAGATAAATATAATATCGAACACTATTGTCCATACACCAGGTACAAATTTAGTTTTGATGGATTACTTCACTTAATCCTAATAATAATCTCATCAAGACAATTATATTTATCCTTCCTTTATTGCTAAAAAGTGATAGCAAAAACAATGTAAGTACCTTGCTCATATCTGCACAACTATTAATAGAAGAATAATGGATTTTAACTCAGTTTGAGTCTAGCGTTCACATATTTAACTATTGTGCATGCTGCTTCCTACACAGGTACTTTTATTCTTTTTCTAAGAAAGCACACCTAAAACAAACACAGTTATCTCCCTCTCCTAAAGTTTGAATTTTGTAATGATTAATTTTATGTATGAAGTTGACTGGACTAAGGGACTGGCCAAATAGCTCGTAAGACATTATTCTGGGTGTGTCTGTGAAGGTGTCTTCTAAAGCAATTTATATTTGGATCAGTACCCCGAGTAAAGAAGATAGTCCTCACCTGTGTGGATGGGCATCATTCAATCTACTGAGAGTCAGAATGACGAACTCACTGTCTCTGCTTGAGCTAAGACATCTGTCTTCTCCTGCCTTCACACATCAGTGCCCTGGACTCAGGTTTTTGAATTAAGATCTAACCCACACACCCCACCCCCCAAAACACACACACATCCACTCATTCTTAGGTCTTCAGACTGAGACTAAATTACGCCAGTGGCTTTCCTGTTTTTCCAGCTTGTGGGCCACAGGATTGATTTCTCTGCATCCTTAACCATGTGAACCAATTGCTATTTTATATTTGTTTCTCTGGAGAATCCTAATACAAGCTTATCATTACCAAGAGACTAGAATGAAACAGCCACATTTTAATTCTGAGAAAATCAGAGCTTAATAAGAATTCAGTTTTTATTTAAAAATTAGTATCGATATACCACTTGAACTTGGCCTGTTGTCTGTTGGCTCTCAAGGCATTTTTTACTTTGGTTTATTGACTAGTCGTTTAGGTAAAAAAGACACTGCATTTTTTAATGGGAAGCCCAGGTCACTTTCTGTCTGCAAACCTTAGAGCAGTCGTCAACTTCTCACTCCTGAAAATGGCTTGGCGAGGAGCTGGCTACCCTAACAGCCTGCCCTGGAGCGCTCTGTTGTCAGCTTCACAGCCTGTCTCACCTGGCTCTTTCATGCCTCTTTTGTGCATGGGCCTTCATGAGATTAGTCTCCAGACCTTTGTGGTAGCCCAGGGCCAGACACCATTCTTGTGTGCCGAAGAGATAAACCAGATAAGAAAAATCAAATTTTTAAGTGTTTGTTTTTAAAAGTGTTCAGAAATGTTTAATGTGGATGTATGAACAAAGTAATAAAAAAGCTAAACATTTTTATTTGTTCCAAATACAGTTTCCTATTTCAGCCCATCTTTGTTGTGATAAAAGCACTCTGATGTATAAAGGACACATGGACAAAAACTAAGGGGGGTGGGGAATGGGAGGGAGGTGGAGAGCACTGGAGGTGTGGGCTGGGATGGGAGTAAAAGACAGAAAACTATACTTGAACAAAAGTTAAAATAAATTTAAATATATATATATTTACACAAGCCAGTTTCTGAGGAATCTACCTATTCTGTATTTGTAATAAATATTTTATGGCAACAACAACAAAAAAAGGGCCCTGATGTAAATAAAGCTTCACAACTTTGCACTTCACACATTTATGTGTGGGAAGCTATACAGAGAAGGAGGAAAGGAAAAAGCTATGGAAGGAAGACAGATCACACAAAATCACATAATATAAGACTTCTATGACCTAAAAAACATGGTGTTAAGATATTGAATCCTATAAAAGTTAAAGATGAGAGAGATGCTCAGATCAACGGTAATTAAAATACAATGAAATTATGAAGTATAAATTTCTCATCACCTTTCATAACCTCTATGATTAAAAAACTTACAAACAGCCAACAGTCAAGAAAACACTTCAGTGAAAGACTTTCACAGGTCGGCCCACCTTGCAGTTCGGGAGAGGTCAGCTGGTAGTGTTCATGTGCAGGCAGGGCTTGCTATTAGTGTCTCCAGCCAGGCGCTGCCTATGCTCTGAGGTCAGGAGCAGTGCTGCTTACTGGGCTTGGCATTCAAGTGGCTGCTGGGAGTGCTCCCTGGTCAGGCAAGGGTGCTGGCTGTCTGTACTCCATGGTTGGGTGGGGCCACTGGCTGGGTTCTGCAATCACCTCTGGTCAGTCAAGATCACAGACTGCATTCTTCCCCAGGGTGATGTCAGTGCTTAGACCCTGCTATTAGGTAAGGCGATGGTCTGGGCTCCACAGTCAATCCTGGATGGGTGGAGTCTCAGATTGTACCTCGTAACCAGATGGTGCTGCAGGCTGAACACAAGATCCAAATGGGACTGCAGGTAGAGTTTCACAGTTGGATGAGGCCTCAGTCTGTCCTCTGTGACCAGGTGGACAACACACTGGGATTCATGATTAAACAGACATCTGGCTGTGCTCCACTACTGGGCTAGATCTCTGACCAGGCTCTCTGGAAAAAGGGCCCCCAGCTGTGTTCTGAAGTTGGATAAGGCTAAATAAAGACTCTGCTCTGCATTCCTACAGGATGGCTATCCAGTACCTCTCCATGAGTGGACAGCAGGTTAAGCTTTGTGATTGGGTGGAGTCACTGGCTGGGCTTCTTTCCTGGGAGAAGCCTTGTAATGTGTTCAGCAACCAGGCAAAGCCATTGGCTAGGTTCTGCTATAGGGCAGTACCATAGATTGGGCTCCAGCTCTGCCTCGGATCACCTTTCATGTTCCTTCATTAAGCAGACCCAGAGGCTACAGTTAACATTCGGACAGGTATGATGGCTTGGGTCTTTGCCCAAGTGGGTCTTTAAAATGGAATTTGTGGCTGCTTGAGTTCTCTGTCCATGCTTCCTGGTCAGGTGTGACTGGGAGCTATACTCAGCTGTGGGATCGGGCTGCAAATTTGCTTCTCTGAACAGATAAGCCAAGATCAGACTCCCCAGCCTGTTTGGCTAGTTGACTAGGAACCCAAATCAGGCAGACCTGCCAGTTGAGCTCCCTGGCCAGATGGGGGGCCCACAGACTCAGCTCTGTAGATGGGATTTCTACAGAGCTGAGATGTCTGGCTGGGATTTCTGTTTGGGAGCTACTGCTGCAAAGAGGAATGCAGTGGGTTAAGATCTGAGCACTGGTTGCTCTAAGTCCAGTCCCCTTTTCTGTCTCTATCTAATCCTCAGTGGTTTAACTCTGCAGATTCCCCACAGTTATCCTCATGAGAATAAACCTGAGTGGGCTTCCTGGGAAGTTTCCCACAGTTATAATGAAGCTATATGTCCACCTTGGTCTCTCCTTTGCCACTGGAAAAACTATGGGTCTAAGGCAGCCTTCTTGGTAAGATGCTGTGCTGGCTTGGGGAAGGAGCAGTGCAGTCACAGTACAGCTCCTACTCTTTCCCTTCTGTTATGGTTCTTCTCAATCTATATGGTCCAGGGAGGTGCCTGTAGCCTCATTTCAGGTTCTAGGATTTCACATAGATAATCATCTTGTCTATTGATAATTGCTAGCTGATTTGCTTATAAGAGCGACTGAAGTCAGGAATGACCTATGTGGTCATATTGATGATGTAACTCATATCCCTCAAATTTATGTATGGATAATCATTTGTGCAAAGCATTATGATTTCACAGGGCTCTTCTCTGAAGAAAGACTATGAAAAAATGAATAATAGGTGGTCTGGGTGTTTCTTCTTTTCCATTAGTTTCCAGAGGGTACTGGGTTTCGATCAGTTTGTGAAGTAGAATAGGGTATTGTTTGTATTAAAGATGCCCCTTCTATCACTGTATATGTACTGAGTTTAGGAACAAGAAAAGTGCTACAATTCTATCTTGAATGAGATTCTCATCCCAAGAGGTAAATAAGATGAAAGGTAAATCAATGCTTAGCTAGGCAACCACTCACATATAATTGTATAAAAAAGAATCTGTGCCCTGTACTAGAAAATAAAAATAACCTAAATTAAAAGATTCTTTGCTTCTATTGTAAATTAAAATTAAAATTTCTTTTAGGCATTTCTGGATGGATTGCTAACCACCACATAAGTTCCTTAATTTTATCTTCTTAGTAAGTTTTTCAATTTTTATCTAAATTTCCCCTATAATTATCTATGAAGCAACAGCAGAATTCACAATATTTTTAATGCATGTGAAATATTCATTAAAAATTAAAATCATATAGGGCATGTTCTTTGATCAAAATTTATTCAGATTAGAATCAACAAAATAAAAATATTTTAAATAAAATCTCCAAACTTTAGAAAATACAATACTTGGAACTAAACAAAAATGAAAACAACCAAGCAAAAAGAAGAAAGGTATAAACCAACAACATAAGCTTTCACCTTAAGCAATTAGATGAAGAACTAACTAAACTCAAAGTAAAAGTAAAGAAATAGTAATGGTAAAAGCATAAGTTATTAGAACAGGATATGGAAAAGTGGGAAAATATCAATCAAATAAAAGCTGGGCTTCAAAAAATGATAGAAAATTGACATACTTCCTGGCATGTTGATGGCAGAAATAGTGTTTATCCACAGAGTCACAAGAAAAACATCTCAAGGACCCATGATTAGATGTAGTGGTAAGATTTATTCAAGAAAAAAAATCAGGACTGCCCCAAGGTGCCTAATGTCATACATGACCGGTGGTTCAGCTCTGTCTTGCCACAGATTAAATCCTGGGCCTGAGAAGCAGAAGTGTCTACCAGGAGGGTCAGGATCTGGAACTGTAGAGCCATCACCCTGGGTTCTAGTAACGTGCAGTGTCTCTGCTTCGCTGGACTAAGTAAGTCTCTGGTCCTGGGGGTGCTCCAGATGGCACCGTGCTGCCACACCCAGGACAGCACTTGGAGCCCTGCAGCTGTTACAAAGAGAAAATGCAAGGGAACAAACATTCAAATGAAGAAATGTGCACCAGACAGGCCTTTGTTAAGCTTTGGTTTTATTACCTCGGGCTTGAGAGAAAGTATGCTTTCTTTCAAACTAATCAATCTCTTTCTTATTCTTCATGGTCTTGGCCTGGGTCCTCCCCAGCCAATCCACTCTTTTAACCAAGTTTTCAAAGCTGGACTCCACCCCTTTATGTCACCATTTTGGCTTCTACTGGGCATGTGCCTAGTAAAGGAGTTCCCCCTGCTGTTTTATTCCTCCTTCAAGAATCCCAACTAATGACCAGTAGCCAAATCTTCCTGCCCACTTTTGAGATTAAGACCCCTCAATGGAGAATGCAGCTGTGCCCTGGGGAGCAGGTGAATACTGTGGCTTTCTAGTGAATCAGGCTTAATGTTCAATTCAGCTCCCTAGTGATTCAGGCTGTATGTCTTATTCCATTTGCTCCCTTCCATAACTAACTAGCTACCTATCCAACAGGCAGACTGATAATGAAAATAGAGAAGCTGAAATTACCAATAATAGAAATGACAAATGGTTATCACTCTAGATTCCCCAACATGAAAAGGATAGCAAGAGAATACATTATTACAGACAAATTAATGTCAATAATTTGACAACTGCAATGGATTGAATATGTGTGTCCTCCCAAATCCAAACGTTGAAACCCTCACCCCCAGTGTACTGATAATAGGAGGCAGGTCATTGTGTGGTAATTAGATCAAGAGGGTTGAGTTCTCAAAATGGGATTATCACCCTTATGAGGGGGATACCAGAGAGCTCTTTTACCTTCTTTTTCCACCATGTGAGGCAATAATAAAGACCACATTCTGCAACCCTGAAGAGGGTTCTCACCAGAACTCAACCATGCTGGCACTCTGATTTCAGACTTCTAGGCTCTAGAACTGTAAGAAACAAATTGATGTTGTTTGCGAGCAATCTAGCTTGGGGTACTTTGTTACAGCACCTGAACTGACTAAAATAACTTCAATGAAACAGACAATTTTTTTAGGACAAATGCAGCTTTCAAATGGTTAAGAAAATTATTTTGCCCAATTTTATTTTTAAAGATTGGGTTCATTATAAACATATTTCAAGCCCAAGTGGAATCATTGGTGAATCCTGATAATCTCTTTAAGGTAGAAATAATATAAATTCACTAATTCTTTCGGAAAATGGAAGAGGAGTGGAAACTCTCCAAGTTATGTTATAATACCAAAAGGAGACAAAGACATTACTAGAAACAGAAATGTAGAAACTAACATCCTGGAATAAATAAATAGGATCATGGGGCTTATACCAAAAATGCAGTATTGCTTAACATTCAAAAATAAATTAATGTCATTTATCATATTGACAGAATAAAGGTGACAGACCATATGATTATCTCAATATAGGCAAATGTACGCTCACACATTTCTAGTGGGAATGTAAAATTATACAACCACTTTGGAAAACAGTTTAGCAATTACTTACAATGATAGAAATACACAATCCACATAATCCAGTAATTCCATGTCTAGATTTCATTTCTAAAATAAAATATATATGTCCCCTCAAATACCATACACAAATGTAAATAGCAACTTGATTCATAATAGCTCCAAAATGAAAACCACTGAATGTCAAAAGTCAAGTGAATACCTAAATAATTAGCAGTACATTCTCAGCAGTAAAAACAAACAAATTATTAATATCTGGAACCACATGGAAGAACAAAACATGCTGAGAAAAATAGAGAGACACAAAGAGTATGTATTGTATGATTCCATTCATATGTAATCCTAGAAAAGGCAAAACTAATTCATTATAATCAAAAGCATATCAGTGGTTGTTTTAGGTTTGGAGTTAAGATAGAATGGCTGAATAGCAGCATGAAAAAACTATTTAGGATTGTGGCAATATTACATATCTTGATTGTACGGTGTTCGCACCAAAAATTTATATATTTACCAAAATACATTCACCTGTATTCTTAAAATAGTTCTATTTTATTTTATGCAATTGTAGCTCAATAACGTTTATTTTAAAGGACAGCAACAACCAGAATTTGTTCTGAGGATTCCCAGTGTGCAAAGGTACAAGGTTAAGGCTGAACATAAACACCCCCTTTCCACAGTATAATAAAGCTTTACTCATTCAGGTGCTGACCAACCCAGCCAGTTCTCTTCCTGGGGTGCTGAGCTCTTAATGAAGCTGGGGCCTAAAAGGTGAGCCCAACTTGACCCACAACTGCTTACTCTGGAAAAAAGGCACCAACACTCCTCCAGAGGTAATCCTCTTAAAGTTGTAAATTCACAGGAAACATTTTTTGTGGAGATTTTCCCTGTCCAGACATTCTTGTAGTGTCTGCTTTATCTTCTCATTCTAACATGTTTTTAATCCTTCTCAGTATGATGATAGACTTATAGGCTAGTAGGGTGGGAAAGTAGCAAGACTAATGAATTAGTTTATTCAATACCTAATAAACTCTATCAAGCCTGGAACACTGTGTGGCCAAAGAGTAGTAAATGGACAAATGGCGCTCTGAAGAGATGAAAAAATATGCAAATTGTAGGGAGACCCAGTGCCCTATTTTAATATCACACTTATTCAATTCTCTTTAAATCAGTTTGCAAAGAATAATGTCCAGGGAAGTGAAACGTTTCTTTGAAAAGCATCAGTATTCAAATGAGAATATTTGTACGTAATCTGGGCCATGTTAGAATTGGTGTAGTGGAAAGACAAAACTTTTTGGTAAGACAAACCTGAGTTTCAGGTCAAGCTCTGCTTTTTTTAGTAGCCTAGTGAGTATTTTGCAAGATTGTGAAATAAATGTAGTTGCTTCATGTGTTACCTTGGAAAGCTCAGAAAAGTAAGAGATAATTGCAAATCAACGCTATGGAAATAGTCACATGTAATCTGAATACTTGCATAATATTAATTTTATAAAGCATAATATTCATATGCAAAAATATTTGCATATTTTGAATGAAATTTAGAATGATTTATCCACAAAGATCCAGAGAATGAGACCTCACAAAAAGTGGGATGTATTGAATATTCACTTAACATTTAATATTTTATAAGTGTGAAAGACAGTTATCTTTGTTAAACTTGACTAATTTGTTCTACTAGCAGAGTTTTTTAACCTCTTTAGGTATCAATTTCCTCATCTGTGAAAAGGCAAAGAACATCTACTTTAAAGTTTATCAGATGCTGAATACCCTTACCTGAGCTCATATCAGTATTTTTAACTGAAATAAGTGGAGATAACATAGTCGGAGTTTATTCTATTTCCTTGGAATGTCATCCACAGGCAACACACAATTCTCCATCTGAACAGCTTTCCTAAGCATTCATGGATCAACCTGGGCCTTAACATTCCCTTATGCTAAGATGTCCTTGTTACCACTAAGGAAGAGTCAGCCCTGCAACTCAGATAACTTAGTAGCTCAGTGGCAATCTTCAGTTTTCCATTTTGCTTATTTCTTTAAACTTATGGCACATAATGGCTATGGATTGAAAGAAAACCACTGGTGAGTAACCAAAACTCTACAAAATGTTCAACAAGGTTTGCCTTAACATGGATAGTACTATCTAAAGGATATTTATCCTGTATAAATAATTACACAGATTAAAATCTATCTTCACATTTAATTAAACAAATGACATAATATGAATTTTCAATTACAGTCTTACTATCCATTTTAAATGAGAGATTTTCCTCTTTTCACCCTGATTTTGAAGTGCCACAAATTAAAAGGGAATGTACCAACATCCAAAAAACTTGTTCAATTAAAAATAATGAAAAAATATAAGATAATAAATTGTGCAACAAAGTGATGATACAGAAAAAATACTAAGAACGTTTTTACACAATTCCTAAGCACCTAAAATGGTCTTTATTTAAAAAATCTTTAATAACTGAAAGCAGAAGGAAAAGAGGGACATATTTACATATTCCTAGAACCAAACACAAAGACTGTATCTAAGGCTTTCTTGCAAATATGACTATGAATATGGCTTCTTTGTACTCTGCAACATCTGGGTGGATTAAACGAATAATTCTTGCACAGACCATTTGTACAGGCCAGAGAGCAATGTAAAGTGATTGATCAGTGGTGGCATATTTTCTGGGTCTTGAGATCAAGGAGCTTAGGAAGTTAAATTCCAATTCTAATCATTTTAAAATATAGGAATTGAACTTAAAGTCTACTGGAATATTAGCATAGCCATTTATTCATGTGCCTGAAATATCAGGCACCTTACACAGACTTTTGCAAGTGCTGTATTGACAATGCACAGCAGAATTATCAATTATGTGGCAGAAATGCTGATACTCCATGTTGGCTTAGGTGAGATGTACAGGCTGTGAATTTGAGAGAAACAAATTATCACCATTATTTGAAGAGACAGCTTTGTATTCTCATACAGATGTAAAATGTTCTCTTTTTCTACATTACTTAGTGATGCCACAATTGTCTTCTGATCACAGAGATTGTATTTAAACACATATTGGCATTTATTGACCTGTGTGTGTATATGTACACCCATATGCATTGAGTATATGTCTGTTGTTCATCTTTTAAAGCTGAAGCCCAAAGTATAATTTTCCCCTGGTGATTATTCAATTCAGAGTATAGATTTTTAGGAGGAGGAGGAAGAATCTGATGAATGACTAACAAACTACTAGCAAATCACCATACCTAGGAAGAAAGCACACATCCCCCTCCTGGCCTCCATGGCTTACGGACCAGTGAATAAGAAAGTAGATCCTCCAACAGCAATTTAGAGAGACTACTCCCACTCATCATTCTCTCTACCACTTCTTGTTTCACATTTTTCCTTCTCTTCATCCCTTTGTTTTTCTGTATGTCCCTTTATAACATCATTCTCTTGGCTTCCATCTTTCTTTTGTCCTCTCCTCCAGGTTTTCCCCAAATACTCGGCTTCTGTTCTAAGCTATAGCCATACAGACATACGTATATAGGCATAGTATCCAGGAGTTACCAGCCATTAAATGGTTTATAGGCCAGACACAGTCCTAGTTGCCTTATGTGTATTTATTTATTTTATTCTTATAGCATTCCTATGAAGACATACTATTATTTTCACATTTCCATCCTGGAGGTAACAGGAACCCATGCAGGTTAAGTAAGTATACAAGGTCATAAAACTAGGGAGCAACAGAACCTGCCTTTCTGTATTTTTACCCCCACATTTATTCAATATATCATACATATCTTTTGTAATTTGTGTTGTAATTTTTACCATAATATCGATGTTCTTTCTTGATTATTTTAAAAGCAGGTGAAGCTTGGCTAATATTCTCAATAGGCTACGAAAAGATTATGTCCAGCCTGACCCACATACATACACAAATAAAACTTTTATATCTATATAACTAAGTTTTTATCTAACTTTCTCATCTTTTGTCTATAATTATATTCTATTTTAAATAACTTCTGACCCTGGGAAATTTCTCAAGTTTATTTATAAACATATACTTTACACCTTTGTTTTAAAAGACCAGGTGTTAATGGTAGCTAAGATTTCACATGAAGTTGGTTGGGAAACAAAACCCTCTGAATCAAAGAAAGCTTCAGATTTGTGCCTGGGACTTTATGACTAAATACACAGCTGAGGGTTGGGAGGGAAGCTGTTTCTCCATGACTGTAACACTCCTCATCTTGTACTAGTACCCCTAGTTTTCTGATCATTTGTAAGAAATTGAGTAGATTACACTGGAAGAGAGTGGTTCGTTTTCTGCCTAAAAGTGAAATAAAGGTGTTCTCCTTGACATTATCACCAGAGCCAAGGTAGCATGCTTTGATGAAGAAGGCCTGGATCCACAAACCATTACATGTGGATTTAAATAATCCCCATCCCACTTACAAATCACGTAAACTAGACCAAGTCTTAT